AGTTAACAAGTAACAAAAACAGAAATTGCTGGAAAACGACAACAGGTCTGGCAGCATCTGTGGAGAGAAATCAGAGTTAACGTGTCAGGTCCTTCTTCAGAACTGATGGTAGCTCGGAAAAAGTTCCTTTTTAATCAGAAGATTGGGTAGAGGGGATAAGGAGTAAACAATAGGTGGGGATGGAGCCCAAAGAGAGAGAAGAACAATTGGACAAGGGACTGGGCAACAATTAGCTTAGGGGAATGAATGGTTGCTAATGGAGATTATTTATGGCTAACAATGGGTTGTGTGTAATAGCAGACCATGCAATAACAAGGCCTGGTGTGTGGGGTTGGGATAAGGACATGGGAGAAAGTGCCTCAAGCCCTAAAATTGTTGAACTTGATAATGAGCCCTGAAGGCTACAGGGTCCCCAAGTGGAAAATGAGGTGCTGTTCTTCCAGCTTGTGCTGAGCTTTGCTGGAGCACTGCAGCAAGCCAGAGACAGAGATGTTGGCCAGGGAACAGGGTGGTGTGTTGAAGTGGCAGGCAAAACGTTGATGTTCTACAAAGCAGTCACCCAGTCTACGCTTCTTTCCCCAGTGTAGAGGAGATCACATTGTAGGCAGCGAGTACTGTAGACTAGATTGTGTGACGTGCAGGTAAAGTGCTGCTTCACCTGGAAGGTACGTTTGGGCCCTTGGATACTGAGGAAGCAGGAAGTAACGAGCAGGTGTTACACCTTCTGCGGTTGCTGGGAAAGGTGTCGTGGAGCTCTGGGAGGGTGTTAGGATTGAAGGAAGACTGGACCAAGGTCTCTTAGAGAGAACAGTCCTTGCAGAAGGTGGACAAAGGAGGGGAGGGGAATATGTGGTGGAATCATGCTGGAGGTGGTGGAAATGGCAGCTATTGATCCTTTGGATGTGGATGCTGGTGGGAATGTAAATGAGGACAAGCGGGACCCTATTGCTGTTGCAGGAGGGAAGAGAGGGAGTGAGGGCCGAAGTGTGGGAGATGGGTTGGACCCAACTGAGGGCCCTGTCAACTACGGTGCTGAGGAATCTTCGATTGAGGAAGAAGGTGGACAACTCAGAGGCTCTCTTGTCGATTTTGCTGAGAGAGAGAAGCAGCACTGATGATCTCATCAATATACCGGAGAAAGAGTTGTAGCTGGACACCGGAATAAGACTGGAACAAGGAAGGTTCCACAAACCCACAAAAAGACAGGCATAACTGGGGCTCATGTGGGTATCCATGGCCACACCTTTGACCTGAAGACAGTGAGAGGAGTTAAAAGTGAAGATTTTCAGGGTGAGGACAAGTTCACCCAGGCAGAGGAGGGTGGCAGTGTATGGGGACAGTTCAGGTCTTTATTCCAGTAAGAAGCAGAGAGCCCTGAGACCATCCTAATGGGGGATGGACATGGAGAGGGATTGCACGTCCATGGTAAAGAGGAGGCAGCTGGAGCCTGCAAACTGGAAATTCTGAAACTGATGTAAAGCAGCAGAGGAATCATGCATGTAAATGGGAAGGGACTGGACAAGGGGAGAAGAAACTGAGTTTAGGTAGGAAGAGATGAGTTCTGTGGGGCAGGAGCAGGAAGAAACAATGGGCCTGCCCAGGCAGTCTTGTTTTTGGATTTTGGGAAGGAGGGAGAAGCGAGCTGTGCGGGTTTGGGAGACCCTGAGCTTAGAGGCAATGGGGAGGAGTTAACAAGTAAGTTGGGTGAAATTTGCTGTATGAGCTAGGACACCCACTGGAGTTTAGAAGAGTAAGAAACATGAGGTCAGCCAGGTGGACCTCATAGAATGTGAGTTCCCTAATTGGGGCTGTTAATATGATCCAATCAGGGAGCCCTGGCTGACAGATATAAAACAAGAGTGCCAGAGGTTCTGTTTACTCTGAGGGCTGGCTCTGAGGAAGCTAGACCAGTGTCAAGTCCTATGTGTGTAACTGGGTGATGGGATACCGGCCTCTGTGGAGCTATTTCAGCAGTGATGAGAGAAAAAAAAAGACACTCCTGAAGAAATTCACTGGCAACAGTCGTCTTTGACTTGGGATAAGCATTTCTGGCATCATGTCATTATTTGGGAAGCTTGACCCATTCAATCCTACTGTTGAAGACAGGACCCAGTATGTGGAAAGATTGCATTACTTTTTCCGGGTAAATAACATGGGGGCAGATGAAAAGCAATGAGTAATTCTCCTGACAGCTTGCAGATCCATGGCTTTTTCAGTTGTTAGGAGCCTAACGTTCCCTGAGACACCAGATACTAAAACCTTTCAAGAGTTGATGGATTTAGTTAAGGAATATTACGACCCCGAGACTCCCCTGATTCTGAGATGGCCATTCAAGAACGACGGGAATCAGTGTCGGGACTTTTGATGAGGTTAAGGTGACTGGGAGAGGCATGTGACTTTGGTTTGATCTGCTATCTGCCCATCTACATCAATGGAGCTTAAGTGGCTAGGGTCAAGGGTGTCAAGTTCCTAGGAATGACGACAACCAACAATCTGTCCTGGACCACCCACAAACATGCCATGGCTCAAGAGGCACAACAATGCCTCTTCTTCCTCAGGAGGCTTTGGTTTAACTCTTAATGAGATGGTGATAGATCATTTGGTATGGTGATTAATGATGTAAGCAAACAAAAGCATCTACTAGCTGAAGCCCAACTGGAATGCAAACAAGCACTGCAATTGGCTTTGTCACTATAAAATGCAGCAAGTGGAGCATATAAGTTGCAGGGTATGCCAATGGAAGGAGACACCCTCGCCAGTCCGACTGAGCTTGGGGGACACCACTAGAGTGAAGGCAATTGCATAGCCTGACTCAGGACATATCCTGAACAGAGGGACTCTAGGTCAGCAGGCAAGCCACTGTTGTTGCTGCTATGTGGACTTGAGACAGCAAAGAGTCCCACCAGATCGAAATGAAATAAGAAAACTCATAGGTCAGCATCCAGGAGAGTGCAAACCCTGGAAAACCCACCTACGTCTGGTTTGAAACGGTCAAATTGCTTAGCAACCTCCAAATCAGAACCAATCAAAATATATGTCTGGTTAAATGATCAGCCATTTCTAATGACGATGATACCAGCGTGGCTGTATCAGTGATTGCAGAACCAGGCTTTAATAAAATCTGCTCTGGACTCCGAGCTTTAAGTTTGCCTAAGACCTTGGTTAGACCGAGACCCTATACTGGAGAACCTTTACAGATTAAGGGTATGACTTCGGTTCTGGTCTTGTATGAGAAGCAGCTGGTTCAGTTACCGCTGATTGTAGGAAAAGACCAGGGTCCCAGCCTGATGAAGCAAAATTGGTTGAGAAAGATTCACTTTGATTGGCTCCACATTTTTCAATTAGAAAATGACTGCCTGAGTGAAGTCCTAATTAAATACCTGGATGTTTTTCAAGGTTTAGGGACTATCAGAGGAGCCAAAACCACCTTACATGTTGACCAGGACGCAACTCCATGATTCTGCAAGGCCCATCTGATGGCATTTGCCTTATGGGCAAAAGTGGAGGTAGAAATCAGAAGGCTAGGAAGCGAAGGAATCATCAAACCAGTCCAGTTTGTGGAATGGGCAGCACCGGCCGTACCGATTGTGAAGCCTGACGGGTGGGTTCGCCTTGGTGCTGATTTTAACAAATGGCAAACCACTTCTCGCAGCTGGATAAATACCCAATCCCTCGCACAGAGAGCTTGCACACAAAACTGGCAGGGGCTGCTGTCCTTCACGAAGCTGGGCATGAGCCATGCATACATGCATTTGTGGATAGAAACTACAGAGAGTTGTGAACACAGCCCAGACCATCACTCAGGCCAACGTCCCATCCATTGTCTCCAGCTACATTCCTCATTGCCGTTGAAAGGCAGCCAACATCATCAAAGACCCCTCGCATCCCAGTTGTAATCTCTTCCATCAGGCAGAAGATACAAAAGCTTAAACACATGCACCAACAAGTTCAAGAAAACCTCTTCTCTGCTGTTATTAGATTGCTGAATGTACCTCTCAAATTTCAAATCTGATGTTGATCTTGCTTTTGTACACCTGTGCAGCTGTAACTTTGTTCTCCTTGAGATAACAAGGTGTAGAGCTGGATGAACACAGCAGGCAAAGCAGCATCAGAGGAGCAGGAAGGCTGACGTTTCGGGCCTAGACCCTTCTTCAGAAATGGGGGAGGGGAAGGGGATTCTGAAATAAATAGGGAGAGAGTGGGAGGCGGATAGAAGATGGATAGAGGAGAAGATAGGTGGAGAGGAGACAGACCGGTCAAAGAGGCGGGGATGGAGCCAGTAAAGGTGGGGAGGTAGGGAGGAGATAGGTCAGTCCAGGGAGGACGGACAGGTCAAGGGGGCAGAATGAGGTTAGTAGGTAGGAGATGCGGGTGGGGCTTGAGGTGGGAGGAGGGGATAGGTGGGAGGAAGGACAGGTTAGGGAGGCGGGGACGAGCTGGGCTGGTTTTGGGATGCGGTAGGGGGAGGGGAGATTTTGAAGCTTGTGAAGTCCACATTGATACCATTGGGCTGCAGGGTTCCCAAGCGGAATATGAGTTGCTGATCCTGCAACCTTCGGGTGGCATCGTTGTGGCACTGCAGGAGGCCCAGGATGGACATGTCGTCTGCGGAATGGGAGAGGGAGTTGAAATGGTTCGCGACTGGGAGGTGCACCAGATCATCCCCAGTGGACTCCTAATTTGGCCCCAACCGTGACAATGTCTACATTCAGAACATTGAGACCCTTCAGAAGCGTTTCTCCCTGTGACTCCTGAAACACACACTCACAGCAATGCGCCGGCATCTCCTGGCACTAAAATCAAGCCTAAAATCAGCTCAGAGCCTCCCTCTCCCAGCCCTGCAAAGGACCTCTCCTGTTTTTTATTCTTCGTAGCATCCACAACCTGAACTCACAATTCAACTCAACTTTGTTGGACACTAAAAACCATAAGTACAGTGAACGTACTGGTGCCTACCACCCAAAACGGGATTCCTCCACCTCCCAAATCCCCAACCCTACCCAGGACCTTCCCCACAATGTTCCTGCCGCCATCGGCCTTGTGGCCACTGTCGGAGCACCCACGGATGACGTCACATCCTCCGCCACCGGATACACCACTTCCGGTACAGCGAACGCCATCGACACCGCTGCTGAAGCCACCGCCTCCATTTCCGAGGCCAACACCATAGATACTGAGGATGCACCTACCGTCACCACTGCTGCCGCCTCCTACCCCGCTCCGCCCACCACCGACGGCACTCCGCCCACCACCGATGCCGACGTTACTCTGCCCACCACCGCCGACGCAACTCCGCCCACCGCTGACGCAACTCCGCCCACAGCCGACGCAACTCCGCCCACAGCCGATGCTGACATCGTTCCGCCCACCACCTCCACAGCCAGCAGCTCCAGAGGAGACAATAGCACCCAGCCCTGCCGAGTCTTCACCATCCCCCCAGACCTACCCCTTACTGAGGACGAACGGTCAGTCCTCAGTAAAGGGCTCACCTTTGTCCCCCTCCACCCACAGATCAACAAATAC